CATGCGGCACAACATAAGCAGGTAGAGGAGCTAGAGCTCTAATGTTATTTTGGGTAGCAGGAGGAGTCCCCATTCAAAGTATTTGCAAACCCTTCTACTGCACTTGAAATATAGCCTACGAGAATTGTTTGCAGACTCATAAATGGATACCAAAGCTCTTTAGCCACACCAACACCTCTTATTCATGATTAGAAACCCAACATTGTCCATTTCAAACACCTTCAAAAATTCATGACATATTGAGCAATGTAAAAAAGAGATCTATATTTACACAACCTCTGTAAGTATATATAAACTGATATGCTGAAATTTTACAAGTACAAATGCTTTAAAATTTTACGAATGACAACTTCACTGTTTTCTCTCTCTTTGATTTTTAGAAATTGAACTGAGAGACTCAATGATTGAGCAACGACACCAGAGAGCAAGAAAGGAGGAGGAAGAAAAAAAGAAAGAAGAGAGGAGAGAATGGACTACCTATCATTCTTCATATATATATATATATATCAACACATACCAATATAGACCCAATGACAGAGACGGGATTACCTTTCACTGGAGTACGAACACAGGGTTAGAGGGAGGAGTAGACCACGATAGAGACTGGATTTAACTTGATTCGATCATGAACAAAGGTGAGCGAGAAGGGATCTAACCACGAACAGATGTATAAGGTTGATATGGGGAATCAATTTAGTGTTTTTCTGAGTTTGGGTTAGCTAGGGTTTTAACAAATTGGGGGTGTTTATATAACGATTTGGGGTGTAAATACAAAGCTTGTTTGACCCTAACTGTCACAAAATGATTATTTCGACTTTTCAAATTTCAAAGGGTATTATTGTCCATAAAATTCACTTTCTATCTCACGTGCTTCAAATAACGGTGAATTTTCGACGGACGGTGGCCGAAAGGGACAACCTGCAACAAAATTGCATAGTTCAGGAGGTTATTTGCATAATTGGTAGTTCAGGGAGATTTATCAGGAGAATTTTTGCACTTTTCCCTATATATTTTCTTAAACAAATGTACTTAAAAAGAAAAAAAAAAAATAAAAAAAAAAAAAAACCACAACATTAATATCAGTTACATGGTTTCATAAATGAAGACACCAATAACACGCAGGGAAGATATAGTGGGTGGACAACAACAGGATCGATTAAGAGTTCTAGGTTCATGAATCAAGAATTTCTATCTGCAATTTATAAAACAGAGTTTCATGTTGAACTTAAACATATATATTCTCTAATTAAAATGACTGTAGTTAAAATAATTTGAGTTTCATTAACTTATATAATAGAGAAAATGTTATATATATAAATGCATTAAAATCTAGTCAGGCATTGGAAGTCATAGTTTGTTTATTTAATTCATGTGCCATTATCATGGTTGACCAACTTAAGTTCATGACCAGGATTAAAGTTCATGTATTGCTTCGTTTAAATATGAACGGGCGTTGCGGAGTTGCCGACCATATATGTATATAATATATAATATTTTGGTGAGCCCCACTGTGATATCGGACCACATCAAAATATGATGCAAGCCTGACTGTGTTCTCGCCCTGGATGGGTTGTCGACTAAATGAATTTTTATTTTTATTTTTAATTTTTAAAACAGATAAAGCACATTTGATAGATATCAATTTTCACGCTGAGTTGTCGTGTATACTTATTGTTAGAAGGGATACTTGTCTTATATTGAATTCGGATCAAAAATAAAATGGGTATAAATGAATGTATATTCAATACTATCTAATAATTTTAAACTTTTAAGTAAATTGATAAACATCCTCTTGTTAGAGTAATTAATATCAAAGTTAGACTCAGTCTTTACTCTAATATCACACCAACCGTCCGGAAAAGCCCACTGGGATAGGCAAGGTGACACAACCGCAACTCAATAATTTAAATTTTTAGATAAATGGACAAACACCAACCCATTACCCTTCTCCACTATATCTTTTTTGTGCCGAGAATTCAGGGATGATTAGTGGAAGTGATGTAGCGATCGTACACTGATGATATCGGCATGGGCATTTTTATACTTGATGAAAGAAATTGTTAATAGGGTCTCATTTAAATAAATTACTTGATGGACTCTTTTTTATTTTTTTTTATGTATTTATTTTTTTTGGCAAAGAAGGAATATAGATTAAACACAATCAGATAAATCAACATCATTGAGTAGGCCGAGCCAAGAAGGCCACACTTTCCATTCAACATCAGATCTTAATTTTCTTTTATTTTAGTATTTTTTATTATTATTATTTTATTTTTCATACTTCTCCTTTCTATTTTTGCAATTCCAGACTTTGAGTTTTGGGCATGACAGAGTTTACGATTGTACGGATGAATCATGTATTTCTTGTGTGGTAGTTGTGTTCTAAGTGATTTTGTTAAGTACATTATTTTGCTACCGTTGTGTCCAATAAAATCTATTGAATGTACATACTTAAGGGATTGTTTGGTACGCGTTCTGTTTTTAGTGTTTTTGTTTTGTAGTAGTATTTTTTAAAAAATGTATTTGATAAAAAAAAATAATTTGTTTCGTACCATGCCAAAATGTTTCATAAATAATGACTGTAACAGTGTTTTGTTACACATTTGGATTTTTTTTATTTAAAAAAAATGATATTTTTAAACTAACCATATTCAAAGGATGGTTAAGCTTAGGAGCCAAGGAATTGGCGCATTAAATGTGTCTATAGGACAAAGATGGTGTAAAGGCGAGAAAGCTCTCTTCTAAGTATAGATTAAGTACTATAAATATTGAAAAAATAATTATACTTTCCGAGTTGTTGAAAACTATTTTTATACCTGAGTATAAAGGCTCGGATATTCGGCAGCATACCTGAGTATTAAGCGTGTGTCCACAGTCCTCTTTTTAAAGTCTCTTACCACTGTAATTTCTTAAGAGACAGTACGCATTCTCTACGGTTGTAATAAGTGAATTCTCTTCTCTCCATATAAGACAATATTGTGCTTCAGTCTCTGTTTATATTATTGTTCGCTATTTGTTGTTTGAATCAACATTTTGTTTGTGTCGAATAAAGGAGGGATTAATTTCTGAAAAGTGGTATCACAGCTCATGTAAAAGACATTAATTCATAACAACATGAATTCCTTTGCCGGCTTTTCCCGGGTGATCTAGTACTGAGACAATTCATGTTTAATGTTTTTGATGCCCTGATAGAAAGAAGTGAAGATATTATTGCTATGTTCACTCATTAAAAATGCAGGGTCCAATGAAACGACCCGCAGTGTACAAAATAAATTTGTAGCGCTTTTTTCCTCGACACAGGATTAAAATGGTAGATAAACATGAAAGATCTCCCATGGGAAACATATAAAACCAGGAACATATAAAAGAAAATAAAGCAGAGCAGTCAATGCTGCCAAACCCACAAACCAGGAACACTCAAAATCAAAGTATACAGAGGCAAGAAAGCTAAAATGAGCAACTCCAAATACGCTAAACACATCAACCATCCAACTTAGGTCCAGTGGAGGAGAGCACCTGGACTTGTGTTTAAATGCAGCTGCTAAGCAAGAACCAATCTGCTGCAAAATTTCTGGCATTAGAAGCAATTCTCAATTCAACCGATTAATCTGACTCTCACAAACTGCTTGATTGATTCATTGAATGAGAGTTTGGGAAGATGATAGATTGATTAATAGGGGCTTTAATTACCAAAATAAATAGGATAATGATTTGAAGTCCAAAAGTCAACAAGTCCGATTGATTTATGTGAGGGCTGACATCATCACGATGTCCTTAATATTCTTAATGTAATGATGACATCAACTCTTATTCACATAAAATTAGTCGAATGTATCTGACTGGTGGACTCTCTATCATTACTCTAAAAAAAAAAACTGGTGAGGGAATTAAGTTTTTAGCATAAATAAAAAATTCCACAGCACTGACCACAGCACTCGACCCCATGTGGATCGGTCCTTATTAAGTATTCATTCTAAAATAAAAACCTAATAGGTATGTCAAATTTTTGTTCTAATATTCATGAGGTATTCTCAAATATTCAGGAAAAACATTTAGAATCCTACTGTTTTGATGTGAGTGAGGAGCATACATCCCACTACTGATCCCCCCCAAAAAAAACACAACACCACACGCACACCATAATAGTTGGACTCCTTATCATGACTCATTGTGGAATGACAACACAACGTTTGGCATTGGTTTTTGATAAATTATTCTTCATTTTTCTCCACACGGCCCTTACATTTCCCAGAATTACCGCAACAGTCCACTAAAGTAATCTATAGATACTGTGGATGGATATTCACTATAGTAAAATTTGATATAAAGAAGATATGACAAGTACAAAATACAACTAAATTTGGTACCTGTTAATCCAAAGCTTTATCTTTCAAGCCATTCCAACATTTGCTAGAAAGGAGATTTTAATTTTCTGGAGTGTAATCAAGGTGTCTTTCATGTTTATCCTATTCTCAGGCGAATCATTTGAACAATCTAATGCCAAACCAAAGATTGATGATATACATTGCTCCTTTACAGAGAGATGTTCATCATCTCTTCCTATCAGATTGGCGTCCACAACTTCAATTATTGAATCATCTAATGCTTCATTCACCCAATGCTTCAAGCACTTCTCTTCAGAAAACATTTCATCAGTTGGCTTCTTCCTCGTGAACATTTCCATCAACATAATACCATAACTATAGACATCAGATCTTGTTGATACCCTTCCTTTCATTCCATACTCTATGCACCACACAACAATATTTAGAAAAATAAAAAATGAAAATAGAATAAAGAAAATACCAAGTTCAAAAAATAAAATAAATAAGAGAACTTGAATCAATATAAGGAACATGGAACATCACCTGGTGCCATATACCCAATAGTTGCTAAGGTCTTGGTTTGTGCCATAAGATCCTCATCCCCTAAGATTTTGGCAATACCAAAATTAGCAACATGTGCAATCATATCTTCATTGAGCAAGACATTGTTGGGCTTCAATCGCAGTGAACAATGGGTGTCACTTGATCATGATGTAGATATTCCAAGGCTGATGCAACATCTATCATTATGTTTAGTCTTTGCACGATATCCAAGCAATAGTTGTGAGAATACAACCACTTGTCAAGGCTCCCATTAGGCATGTACTCTAGTACTAAAGCTCTAAAATCCAAGTTAGTGCAACTGCTGATGATTCTTATAAGATTTCGATGGCGACTATTGCATATCACTTTACATTCGACATCAAAACTGTCGAATGCTCTTTCTAATTGCGAATTGAAAACCTTTACTGCAATATTCATCCCATCTGAAAGCATTCCTTTATAAACTGAACCAAAACTTCCAATGCTGAGCAAGTTGGCTTCACTAAATGCATCTGTCGCTTGTAAAAGCTCTTGGTATAAAATTCTTCTCAATGTCGGAGGTGATAAATCTGCATTTGTTGGTAATCTAACCTTTTGTTTTCGACGTTGGACCAACACAAATAAGAGAGCCATCACAAGAATTGTTGATGCAACGGGAGGTAAAATATATTTCAGGAGAGGCACAATCTTCAACCTTGATCGTTGGTGCTTATTGGTTTTGCACAGTGGGACTTGTAATTGGGCTTGGCCGCAAAGTGCGCCATTATGCATAAATGATTGAGCTGTAAAGTTCACGAAATGTCCTCCAGTTGGAATTTCTCCTTAGAGTTTATTGAAAGATACATTCAAATATTGGAGATACCTGAGTGTCCCTAAGGACATAGGAATCTCTCTGTAGAAATTGTTGTTAGAGAGATCTAAGAATTCCAAACTTATTAAGTTGCCCAATGATTGAGGAATATACCCTTGTAGTTTATTGTGTGCGAAGGAGAAATTAACTAATGATTGAGCAGCTCCAATGGTGCTGGGGATATCACCTGATAACTGGTTCCATGACAAGTCTAATTGTGTTATGACCTTCAAATTCCCGATATCTAATGGTAGATTACCATTGAGAGATTTTGTCGACAAATTCAAACCCAATAGATCCTTAAGGCTCCACAAGTTTGGAGGTATCATTGAAGTTAGCGAGTCGTAATTGGCATGGGGCATAGCAGGCGGTGGCGATGCCACTGGTGCGGGAACAGCCCTCGCTGGAGCAATAAGGACAGCCGGATTTCCCCAATCAAGCATATCACCAATGCGGGCTTGATGAGAAGTCTTAAGCTGGACAGTGCTCGACTTCCAAGCACCACTATTAAAGAGAAAGACCTCGGTGTTCTTTTCTTCTCCGCAGGGGACCCTAAACTGCTTATTCTTGATGAGCCTGGTGACCAAGTATGTAAAAGGAAGTACCCAAGTGAGGGCCTTATCCGACTGAGTCACAAAAAGGTCATTGTAGACCTTGAGTAGCTAGTCCCAGACGAGCCTTGGGACAAAAAACCAACATCCCATCTCAGCAGCATAAAGGGTTTGCCTTTACACTTAGAATGCTTGGGAATGGGAAGGACGTTTTTAGCAATGACGGAGTCCACAAACTAGAGCCAGCACGGAAGGAATGATTTATTTGTGCTTGTTTTTCGATTGTCGGTAAATTGGTTGTGGCAAATTTCCTCTACCATGTATGCCAAATTCAAATTAACCGAAGGCTCAATGTACAAAAGCAAGCCCGCTCCATCCACAGAAGATTCCAATGGACATGCTAAAGCCGTGGCAAGGTCATCAAGGTCGAACTTAAAAGATATGCCATCGATGGTGGTCTTAATGACATCCGGCTCCGTGTATGTATAAAACATGTTGGAATAGAACTGTCAAACGAGACGCAGATAGAAAACGCTAGCGCGTGGCTTGAATAGAGATTGGAGGCCACGGTCCGTCAATTCTTTGACCGCCTACGCCGTTTGCGGATGGTTTTCGAAGCCGTCTTTGATGACAAATTTGGCCTCAATTTCGATGGGCCAATCCGCCCAATTTTGCGGGGGAGGGTCATTGGATGGTCCCTCAGATGAGCGAGCAAGCTTGGAAAAGACTTTGGGCGCCATTTGGGAAGAAAAAGTTAGCTCGGGCAATTTATCGAACACCTGGCGTGCAAGACAGAATGGAAGAGAGCCAAAGATGGATTAGAGATAGAAAAACCCAAAAATTTTCACCTGAAATTAACAATATCAAACTCCCAAACAATCACCAATCCTCCATATATATTATCCCATCCTCCATTGATCCATAAATTGAAAGAAAGAAAGAGTAGAGGAAACTTACCCAATGTGGAGAGCAAAGGACTCCTTGCTTGGTGATAGGAGACTTTGAGGATGAGAGGAAGGTGAGATGATGGAGTGGGGGAGGAAGATGAGATGGGAGAGGAGTAGATTGTGGTACCCCCTAATTTCGAAACATGAGTTGATCAGGTCCACGCACAAAGTCAAGGGATATCAACCAATCAATAATAAGCAAGCACTTAATACAAGAGGAAAAAAATAATAAAATAAATAAACAATGCTGAAAGGGAAAACTAAATTAATAATTAAATAACAAAACCTCTGATTATAATAATAATAAATCTCTGGAGTACAACTTGGGAATCCATTCAATGTGGACCCCTAATCAAAATCCTAACTAAAGACGAAACAAATAAATATCTAACTCAGAAATAATAAATGATAGCGAAAACATAGTGGAGGTCCTACGTCTATGACATCGGAAGAGTGATGAAGTCTGGCCCCTGCTCTGCACGAACTGATTCTATGTCTGGAACTGTCGAGGACCTGAAAAGATAACAACAAAGGTGGGTCAAAACCCATGAACAAGCCCTTTCTACTACATCCTAAACAAAGACCCGATAGACAGTTCATCCTAGTTCGACTCATGCAATAGCTATGTAGGTCAATATACATAAGTATACACACTATAGACTTTCACTGGATTATAAGACAGCCTCAACCGGATAGTAGGTCTCGTGCAAGCGCATACAAGAAGGTCATGAGGACCTCTTCTACCAGGGCACACACATCCCTATAACCAGCTACTCATCTCATCTGGCAGTATACGCCAACCCTAACCATTGATCCCGAGATCTCACGCTCGTATCATGGTACCCAATTATAATATATTTAAGTAACTGTAGCCATATCCTGACAATGACACGATTAAAGGTCATAACCATATCCTGACAATGGTATGACAAAACGTATAGGTCTAGACTTAAAATCTAGCCCATAAATGTATCGGCAAGCCATATCCTAACAATGGTGCTGCTAAGACCATATCCTGGTCCTCCATCATACACTTATAGACAAATATGTATTAGTTCATATACAGTCACATGCATGACTATAATCACATTAACTTCACTAAACAAATAATAAATAAAAATAAAAATAAAAATAACATTATAAGCTATTAAAAGTATCATTGCCAACAACTTAAAATGCGAGCAAGTACATTTACCGTTACATGAACAATTAACATAATAATATTCTCTACGATAATTGTTAGGACAAGATAAACCCTTTTTAATTATTGAATTAATAAGTTCCATTATATTATATAGGTATCCTATATAATCACAGCATGTAAAAAAAATGTGTATATAATTTAATGTCACATGCTAACACAATAAACAATACCAACATCCCATGTGTTTATGTTGTATAAAATTTCAGCATGTTAAAAATCAATGCCATATGGTAAATAATACACAATTTCAACATACTGCCTTATGCTTAGGAGTTATAGTCCACCCTCATTGATGAATGGAGATAGGAATTGCATTTAGTATAGTAAAATCTACTCAATTCGACCCACTAAAAAAATAAATAAATAAATAAACAAATAAAACGAAATAAATTTCAGATTGCAACTTAAAATCTTTACAAAATCTGAACATCTTAATTTAACCATGGCGAAAGGACAGCAACAAAGAAAACCACTTAAAACGAAAAGGCAACTTAACATCTTAAAGAAAGATTGCAACTTAACCTCTTAAAGTAAAGATTGCAACTTAACATCTTAATATGAAATAAAATAAAATAAAAATCAGAAATTAAAACATACTCATGTATCTATATATATAGATATATATACACTAATTTATCCCTGTTATAAATCATTCTTGGCACCAATATAATTAAACCCATCTAATATAAATTCCCTAAAGTCATTCTACAAATGGATCAAACCCGGAATCAAAGAGGATGAGTAGAACGAAGACTTGCCTTTGTATGAATTTCAGATTGCAACTCTTTTCTCCTCTGATTTCCCCCTTTTTTTTTTTCTCTCTTCCTCTTTCTCTCTTTCTTTCTCCTTCTTCCTCTCTAGTTCACGCCGCCCTCTGTTCTTTTCTTTCTTTTCAATTTCGTGCCCCCTTTTACAAAAACCCACTTACAGACTACTTTATATAAACAAATATAATATAACCTAATTCTACTAACCTAACTAATCCTATACCAATTTAAATACACCAACCACACAATATTACAACCAAAACCCACTAATCATTAAATCTAATAAAGAAAAATTAAAAAAAAAAACCAAAATGTTACTAATGATCACAATTCCTGTGCATGTAAACAACCATAAATATGTAAGTATAAAAATAATATAGTTTACATATATATCTTTATAATTTACTAACCATATATATATATATATAACACTTTAATATAGATATATGTATAATTTTATATATCTATCACCCATCCATTCTACTAAATAAATAAATAAATAAACAAAATAAAGAAATAACATCAATAAAAAAAAATTACAATTAACTAAATAAACACCTCACAACAATTTAATTAGTCAAGTACATAAAAAAATAAAATAAATAACAACAATGAAATAAAATAAACACTAAAAATAATGAAATAAATCAAACACTAAATAATTACTATTTAACTGACAAACAAATAAAATCCTAAAATAAATGCACAACAATTTAAATAGCCACGTAGATAAATAAAATGAAATAAAAATAAATAAATAAATAAAAACCTTGAAATTTAGGGGTATTACATAGATGGAAGGAAGAATTGAAGAGTTGAGAGGGCAAGGGAGAGAGACTCGACTGGGATTGAGAGAGGGGGAAAGATATAAAATGAAATGGGCTTGAAATAAGCCCATTTAAAGAGAGCCGACATAGGGGTGGGCACCCGCGGGTTCAAGACTACACTGCCTATTTCTAGCGGGCGCCCGCAACTTTTCAAGGGTGGGTCTCGACGGGGGCCTGTAAGGTCTTGGCAAGGCCCTGTAGAAGCTTGAGCTCACTGGCACATTTGGCAGGCGCCCGCAAGGGCATGGCGGGCGCCAGCAATGCTGCTGGGCAAACCACCTTCTAAAGTGATATTTGGCCTAACGGAAGCCGCGCCGGGTCAAACAATTCCCAAATTTGAAATGTAAGCTTGTATGAACCCTAGACATCGAGTATAACCCCTGGAACGAGAATCGGAGCACAAATGCAACAGTGATGTTTTAGAGGCCCGAATTTCCCGTGATTTTTGGATTAGTTGAGAAAATTGCCTAACTGACCTTGAAAAATTCCAAAAATAGTACCAAGACCTTAAAATGACTAAGAAAACCGAATGTGACTTTTGGAATGCAGTTCGAGACTTTTCTGGAAGAGTTCACATTTTGGCTAAACTTAGCTAATTTCCAGAAAATTCTTGGCTAAGGCAACTTAGAAGAGGGAAGCTTGGAAGTTGAAAGAATTGCTTCCCACGAGTGCTAAATTTAAAGTCGATAGCTAGATGAACATGATTTCGCATTAGTCCTCGTAAATTGGGTCCGTCAATAGGACTTTCTCTACTTTTCGAATAGGAACTATGCCATTAACATAAAGCTTAAGCCGTTGGCCATTAACCTTAAAAAGAGATCCATCGGTACGATCATGAAGTTCGATTGCACTATGAGGAAAGATGGATGAGATAACATATGGACCATCCCACCGTGAACGGAGTTTACCGGGAAAGAGTCGCAAGCGAGAATTGAAAAGCCAAACTTTCTGTCCAGGGCAAAAGACTTGTTGACAATGTGCTTGTCATGAAATGTTTTAGTCTTTGCCTTATAGATTTTGCGCTTTCATACGCATCATTTCAAAATTCCTCAAGCTCATTGAGCTGCAATTTGCGATTATAGCCGGTTTATTTAAGATCAAAGTTGAACTGTTTTATGGCCCAATAAGCATGGTGCTCTAACTTGAC